TCTCCAAAACACCAAAGGATCCGATTAAAAAGTGGGCTACAGAACTAGATAGAGAATTCTCAATAGAGGAGTCTAAAATGATTGAGAGGCACTTGAGAAAGTGCTCAACATTCCTAGCCATCCGGGAAATGCAAATCAAAACAACTCTGAGATACCATCTTACTCCTGTAAGAATGGCTAAAATCAAAAACACCAATGACAGTTTATGCTGGAGAGGTTGTGGAGAAAGGAGACCACTCCTCCACTGCTGGTGGGAGTGCTGACTCATACAGCCACTTTGGAATTCAGTATGGAGATTCCTCAGAAAAAATGGAAATAAGCCTACCACAAGATCCAGCAATTCCACTCTTAGGCATATATCCAAAAGATGCACATTCATACAACAAGGACATCTGTTCCACTATGTTCATAGCAGCATTATTTGTAATAACCAGAACTTGGAAGCAACCTATATGCCCCTCAACTGAAGAGTGGATAGAAAAAAATGTAGTACATTTACACAATCGAGAACTATTCAGCAGAAAAAAAAAATGGAATCCTGAAATTTGCAAGCAAATGGATGGCACTATAAGAAACCATCCTGAGTGAGGTAACCCAGTCACAAAAAGACAAACATGGTATGTACTCTCTCATATATGGATTTTAGATATAGATCTGGGGAGTGCCAGCCTATAATCCCACGGCCAGAGAGTCTGGGGAACAGAACCTTCATCCAATGGCTGATGGAAGCAGAGGCAGACTCCCACAGCTAAACACTGAGCTGAACTCAAGGTACCCAGTGACAGAGAGGGAGGACTGATGAGCAAAGGGGTTAAGACTGGACTGGTTTAACCCCAGAAACAGCTGACCTGACAAGGGTTAGCTCTTGAATACCAGACTTATGGCTGGGAATCCAGCATGGGACTGATAAAGACCCCCTGAATGAGGTTGTCAGTGAGGAGGTCTAGGCAATCTATTGGGCCTTGGGTAGTAGATAAGTATTTATCTCGGGCATACAAATGGACTTTGGGTGCCCATCCAACAATGAGAGATGCACTATCACCCTGGACTCTTGGGGGAGGGTCTAGGCCCTGCCCTGGATGAAATGACAGCCTATGGACACCCCATGGAGGGCCTCACCCTTCCTGGGGAAATGAGGGGATATTGGGTAGGTTGGTGGGAGGCGTGGGAGGAGGGGAGGGAAAGCGAGAGGGACCTGGGATTGACATGTGAAGCAGCCTTGTTTCTTATTTAAATTTAAAAATAAAAATTAAAAAAATTAAAATTAAGAAACTTTAAAAGTTAAAGCAAGTCTTTGTGAATGAACTGCTGAGAATAGATAAAGCAAAAAAATATAGTACAAAATAATATGAATTTTAGTAGGAAAAACGGAGTAGGAAAACAAATTTATTTGGAAAGAGTTTAGGAATTTGGCAGACACATGTATACTGAAAAGAGTTTTATTCTAGACATTCAAATGCGGCCCATTTTTAAAATTCTGTTGAGACGAAAGCCAATCACCACATTCCCAGGGCTCAGATCATGGATCTGACCAACATGTGTTAGGCTGATCAATGGGCAATAAAGAGTAAAGCCAGGGTGAGGCGGAGGGTCCCTCTCAGTGGTCTTTCAGATGCTGAAGAAAGAAAATGAAAGCATGGTTCAATGTCAGCGTGCTGTCCTCTGCAAAGCTTAAGGAGTAGGTCTGCTGTAAGAGCATGAATGGTTCACAGCAGTTGAAGACTGCAGCCAGCAGGAAGGTGGGCAACGGCTGCCCAGCCAGCAAACCCTGCGGGAGCATCTATGGTGGAGGCTGGGAGTTTGACCACAGGGTGTGCTACAGCCACATAGGCTGGTGTCCAATGGGTGGTCCCATAGCAGGGACTCTGCAGTAGTGGGTTGACAGGCAGGGGAGCAGCTGGTGTGGGTTCTGGTGACTCGTGTGCAAGTAGGGCTTCTGAGGGGAGACTGGTTGGTTTCTCATCACCTACAATCTTCTCTAGTAGGTTTTCCGTGTACTGTTTCCCAGCTTGTAACAAAGGAGAAGTTAAGGTTTATTAGCTTGGAAAGTCCCACTAACTGTATTTTGTAAAATGACAGATGAATAGAAAATCAGTATGGAAAAGAAATGAATGCTTTTGTTTTGAATGTTAAATTTGAAACAATATGCCTTCAGCCAGTCTTACTGCTTAATTTCTTCATGATTTACATCTGCACCATACTGATTGTTTTGTTCCAGTCATTTTGCTATTATACACGAAGGTCTGACTTTTGTGTATGATGTATCCATGACTGCACCTACTTTAAATATCATCCAAACTGGAGAGGTTATGGTTCCCCGTCTCATTCAGTAACAGCGAGTTAAGTGGTTGGAGGAAGAGGAACAACGCATTCTATGCTCACTACAGCAATGAGACACACACACAAAAGTACAAGAGGCCCTAGATGAAAGGACACTGCAGTTTAAAAGGGCTGCATACGTCTAGAGATGAGGAGCTGGTTCAATGAAAATCATGCAAGCATCCCTTTAAAAAGCAAATATAATTTCCCAGACAGCATGACAAGACCAGAATGTCTGGAAAGGGCATAGTCAGAAGACAATTACAAACATAACAATGCTAGTTTAGCAGCAGTATGCAAGCCTTCATAGAGAACAACCTCACGGCCCAGGAGAGCTACACAGAACCTCCACCCAGGAAACCATGGTCACCTCTTCTGGCTTCACCTACTTTGAATAGGACTGTGTATGGCCAAAGCCTCAGCTAGGAACTCTGTGTCACCTTTGATACTGGCAGAACACCTGTTGTTAGACTGCTTGCTGTCATCCAGCTGTCACCCAATTGTTACTGTGTATCAGTCCTGGGTAACTATTATGTTGCCAATGTGCCAGCCTTACGTTTTCTCCAGTACACCTGTGCTTGTACCGAGCCATCACTGTATCTATCATTCAATTGGTCATGTCATTAAGAAGCTCTTTTATTTTATTCCGTTTTGTTCGTGAAGACAGTGTCTCATGTATCTTAGGTTAGCCTTAAACTTTCTACTTAGCTGAGGCTGGCCTTGAACTCCTGATCTTCCTCCCTTCCACTTCCTAAGTGCTAACATAGGAATGTGCCACCATACCTGGACATAACTCTTGTAAGCAACTATTTAAACTTTAAACACATAAGCAGTAAATTCCCTGTCTATTACTATCACATTCTGACAGATGACCAGAGGTTTCCTGTGACTTTATTGACCAAGTTTGTTGTCATATTATCATCCTTGGCATGCGTTGGACTTTTTAAAGAATCATGTGTGATAGAGTGACTGTATCCCAATAAATACATACTCTCTTAATAGCATAAATATTTGTGGTCATTAAGCATATCTGACCATCAATGTATTTGGAGAAAAGTTTGGGTTGCTGTTACATAGACAAAGAAAACAATTTGCATATAATAACCATATCATAGTAGGTAGATTGAAATAGTAAGTCTTAAAGTTTTTCATGTATGTACACATGTCTGTACATGCCAAGACAAACTGAAAGAGAATTAGATGACAGATGAATATTTATACTTTAATGAAAGGAATTATTTCACAAAAAGTGAGATAATTCACCATTTAATTTTTCTTCTTTTTCATAGAGAGAACTGGTTCTCTCCAAGGAAATAAGTGACCATGGCATTTGATTCAATTAGATCAAGTCAGCAGCACAATTGTAGCTGCTTTGACCTTGATAATGACTTCCTTGCAATACATTTTCACATCTCCAAAGGCCAGCTCTCCCATTTTTATAAGCAGTTGGCCTATGTTCAAAATAACTATCACGGAAAATGATAAAATGACAACCTAGACTCAGACTTTCATAAAGGATTTTAGAAACCATCATTTTAGGTGAAGAATGAAGATATAGAAAATTTGAATAGAATCACTGTTAACTTAGATGCAATGTCTATTTTTCTACCATCTATCCCATCTTGTGCTTAAACAATTGCATTTCCATAGTTGTCATATATATTTAGACTGTTTGTACATGATGTCACACTACAATGAAGATCTCAAGTAGGAATACTATGCAGCTCTTCTTCCACCATAATACAGAGAAATCAGATAACACTGCCAAGAAATGCACTAAGAACTGAATGGAGAAACTAGAGGTTTAAGGCAGCCAAAGACTTGGATGCAATTTGCACAAAAAAGTCTCATTTTTATTGTTACAGCTCCTTTGTAATAATGCAAAGTAGCAATATAATACAATGCAATAATGCAAGCAATACAATAATAAAGAGTTTACAGTTCAGCAAAGAAGCCTGCTTTACAGCTCAGCATCTTCAAGGTTGTATAAAGTGCAACAATGTTATTTGCCTTCATGAAAACATCTGAGATATGTGAACATCATTCATGCTAACTCTTCTTTAGAAACCGAGGAACATCTCAGGCATTCCTCTGTTCCTTCCAGCATTGGCTGACATTACAAATTCCCTTCTTGAGAAAGATCCACACGAGATGGCTTCATGTCCATGTCACAAATTCATTTCACCCTCACATAATCTTAATCCAAACATCAGCATTCACACTTTCTTCTAGTACATTCACAGATTACTTTTGAAGAGTCTCTAGGATAGAAGAGAGACAGACCCACTATGGGACTGGTATGAGTCTTCATGATGACACATGGAATGTTGGATTTTGTATGCTATGTCATCTCATGATTTTCCATTGGCTGAGTCAGAACAGGAACTTTTGAAATTCGATGATACACATAAGGAAACAAGAGATGACTCAGGAGAAAAGACTGAATGATAACCCCTGACCCTGAGAAAGAACAGAATGCGTTCCATCTAATTTTTACATAGAGTCTTTCACAATTAACTAATTAAGTAACTGTTTATATACTAAGAGAAACAATAACAAGGAAATGACCCTTAACCTGGTAACAGCATCAGGGTATAAAAGAGGACAGGGAATAAGGACACTCAAACATTTCAGAAACTCACTCTATTCAAAACCTACTCAGAACCTCCACCTCTGACACCATGGTCAACTCCTGTTGTGGCTCTGTCTGCTCTGAGCAGGGCTGTGATCAAAGTCCCTGCCAGGAGAGCTGCTGCCAGCCCAGTTGCTGCCAGACCACCTGTTGCCAGACCACCTGCTGCCGCCCAGTCTGCTGCCAGACCACCTGCCGCCCCAGCTGCGGAGTGTCCAGCTGCTGCCGTCCAGTCTGCTGCCAGACCACCTGCCGCCCCAGCTGCGGAGTGTCCAGCTGCTGCCAGACCACCTGCCGCCCCAGCTGTGGAGTGTCCAGCTGCTGCCGTCCAGTCTGCTGCCAGACCACCTGCCGCCCCAGCTGTGGAGTGTCCAGCTGCTGCCGTCCAGTCTGCTGCCAGACCACCTGCCGCCCCAGCTGTGGAGTGTCCAGCTGCTGCCGTCCAGTCTGCTGCCAGACCACCTGCCGCCCCAGCTGTGGAGTGTCCAGCTGCTGCCAGACCACCTGCCGCCCCAGCTGTGGAGTATCCAGCTGCTGCCAGCCAGTCTGCTGCCAGACTACTTGCTGTCGTACAACTTGCTGCCGCCCCTCTTGTTGAATTTTCTGTCTGATTACCAACCCTGAGGCACCTGTAATCACAGTGAGCTGAACTTCTCATCTATATATTAAATGATTCCTACCTTGGTTGTCCTGACAACAGTAAGAAACTAGCAGAAGAAAGTCCTGCAGTAAGTACCGTCCATATTTTCCAAGGATCTTCCCTCTACATGGATTTCTCAGATGCATGGTGCAGCTAGACCTATCCCTCAACTCTCCAGCTTCCTTGAACTTCTCCATTCTGTGTTAACTAGTCTTCAATAAATATTGCCTTATATTAGAAATATATGTATCTTTTTCATTTATTTTAAGAGAATTAACAGTTTATTTTTCTAGTATTATTCCTTCCAAGATGAAAAGCTATTTGGGTTATTATGACCAGGAAGAAAACTAGTTTTGCTAGTATGTTAGAGACATGCATAGTCCCACATTTATTATAGCATTATTCACATTGGCTGGGAAGCAGAATTAGCCTGTGTCCATCATGTCTTATACATAATGGAATGCTGTTTACTCATAAAACAGGTGGAGTCTTGTAATTTGTGACAACATGGCTAGAACTGGAAGATATTAAGTGAAATCAGCCAGATACAGAAAGAAAATATTTGTAATATCACTCAAATGTGGAATCTAAAAATATGATCTCATAGAAGCTGACAGTAGAAAAGTTGCTTTGTGATTCTGGGGAGAAGAGAGGGACACAAGAAGGAATACCTGGTTAGCATGTTGTAAAGCAAATAGGTAAAAGGATTGCTCTAGCATTGGAGAGATGACTCAGTGAGAAAGAGCTCAGGCCACTCTTCCAGAGGACCTGGGTTTGAGTTCCAGAACCCACATGGCAGTTCATAATAAATGATCCAGCACTCTCTTGTGGCCTCCACAGGCACTAGGCATGCACATGGCACACTGACAAACATGCAGTTAACAACCACATACAAAAAATAGATAAATAAAACTTTAAAAATGAAATATTTATAGTGTTCAATTGCATAGTTTATATTTCAAAACAGAACAAAGGACATTGAATATTTTCATTAGAAAGAAATTATATATATATTTGAGGATGTAAATATATTAACTCAGATTTAAACAGTGTGTCATGTATGCATGCATGCATTAAAACATCATTACTACCTCAGGAATATATAAACTTTTATGTCAACTCTAAAGCAGAAAAGAAAACTGATTTTGCACATATAGTCTACTGTCTATATTGTAAAAAGGACTACATTTCAAAATAACATGATATCTGATTTAATTAACAATAATTTTCCTTTTTCAATCCATAAGATGATTGGCAGTCTCAAAGGGCCATTGAATTCTGAAGATTAGACACACAAAGATCAGTAGTTTCCAATACTAGTCTTAGAAATAAAGGCTTAGAAATAAAAGGGAGGACCAAAATAGATAGAATGTATTGGGGAAAACTTCTGTTTCAGAGAAGGGCAATGCAGAAGGATTTGAAAATGTTTTATAAATATAGTGAATAAAAAGCTAGTAAATGCGAGGGAAGTCACAAAGTCAGGACGAAAACAGAAGGAAAAAGCAGGCAGGTATGAGGGTGGGGGTAGGAGGAGGCAGCTGGGGATTGTTTACATAGCAACAATGAAAGGAGTAAAATGGGGCAAGAGATCAGTGGCTGTGCAGGCAGAAAAGGGGCTATGCTGCTCACGCCCTAAATGCCTTCACATCAATGACACTGTGCTAGAGTAAGTCATGAGCAGATGAGGAAGCTCTCAGTCAGAGGTGAAGTGCATGGAGACCAGAGACAACTCCAGGAGGGGTTGAGGGAAGAGTTTAAAGATCAGGGAAGCAAAAATTTGCTTCAATGGACCAGCAAGATGGGGTAAAGATGCCTGCTGCCAAACCTGGGACTCACATAGTGGAAGGGAGGAAGGAGAAAACTGACTCCCATAAATGGTCCTCTGACCTCTATGCACAGGCAGGGACATGTGTGCACACCCCCTATACTAACACAGAAAATAATTAAAAGTTGCAAGTAGGATGAACTTAGGTTGCATTTGAAAGTTGTGCTGAGTGTCTACTATTGGGATACTCTTAGATACTGCAAAAATCTGTTAAAACTTGGGTGTACTTGATCCAGGGGAACAAGCAAAATACCCCCAGAAGTCATGTCCTTCGCTTTGCTTGGTCTGTCTGAAGTCACTTTTACCAGAAAACAGATACTTGATAAAAACAAAGAGTCAACAGACTAAAGTTATCTAAAGGGAAGGACTAGTAAAACACTCGAGGCATTCTCAAATGGGGGAAACTTACCCTTCTAGCAGTGATAGCAAAGGTGGAGGATCAAAAGGTAGAGTTAGTGATGTCAGCAGTTAGAGCTTAAGGGCAGATCCAGTGAAAAACCATTAAGAGTGGGGAGCCACGTGGCTTGTGGCCAGGGCAGTAGGGAGTTAGTAGGGAGTTGAGGCTGCTTCTGAGACATGTAACCAGAACTTGTAACCAAACACATAACTGTCAGCATTTGTCTGTGATGGGAGGAGCTGATTGTCAGACTGACCCCTAATTCATCTTCTTGAGAAGTGGGGACATCAGAAGCATTTAGAACATATTCTTAATGGTGGACTTGAATAGGTGTGGGATCGAAAGAGAAGGTCACTGCTTTTCCTAAGCACCTCCCAGAATAACTTGGACTTTTTTAAAAATACAGGTTGTCAATGTTGTACTACTCAATGTTCTGTGTCACTTGGTTATTTCAGACAGATAAGCTTTAATTCACAGGGTGATCCCACCGCATGCAACGAGCTAACACTAGGAGGAAATGTGCCCACATGCATTGTGTTGAATTCTCTTTCCCAACTTCCTAACTCCCAGAACCCTCCTAGAGTCATGCTCTTCCTTTTTAAAAGCCAGTTCCAACATTCTCCAACAGAAGTCATTGCATTCCCATTCATTTCTGCTGTTGCCCTCCCATTTGCCGTGTGTTCTGTGGCACAGGTCTTACAGCACATGCCTAGCGAGATTGAACCATGGGTGAGGGAGGAATATAATGACAGCCAGTCACAAGTTGGCTCCACACTGACACCTGGGAGAGAAACCTGCAGATTTGAAATTATATGAATGACACAAGGAAGGGACGGAAGTTAATTTGGAAGCATCAAATTTGAAATAAAATGTATATAATTACCTGATCCCATAACATATCTGTTAACATCATCCATGATAGTAAGGATGTCTCTTGACAGGGAGAAAAGGTGTAAAATAGACTTCCAAATTCAGAAAACTCACTCTCTTAGACATCCATGCCAAACATCCAACCTCCAGCATCATGGTCTACTCCTGTTGTGGCTCTGTCTGCTCTGAGGAGGGCTGTGGCCAAGGCTGCTGCCAGCCCAGCTGCTGCCAGCCCAGCTGCTGCAGACCCACCTGCTTCTGGCACAGTTGCTGCTGACCCAGCTGCTACAGGACCGCTTGCTGCCAGTTTACCTGTTGTGTGTCCAGCTGCTGCTGCCTTAACTGCTATCATCCCAGCTGCTGTATGTCCAGCCGTTGTTGTCCCAGCTGCTGTGTCCAGTTGCTGTCGTCCCAGATGCTGTAAACCTAGTTGCAGCTGTCCTGTCTGTTGCCAGACCACCTGCTATAACCCATTCTACCATGGATCATCTTGTTGAATTTCATTCCTTACCACTACCCTCAGGACAACCAACATGTTACCAGAGTATAAGACTTCCTAATCTCCTTTGTCTACCACACTTGGTCTTGTTTTGATCTGTTACATATTACTCTATCTATTTACCCCATTGACCACCCTGTCAAATAATGACTTACAAACAATTGTTTAATCTAATGCTACATAGAACTATCATGCCTATGGATATAACATTTAGTCGGATGACCTGATGCATCACACACTTTCATTGGAGCAGGCTCCTCATCCTGTTACTGTACATAACTTGCTTTCTAATGGAATTCTTTGATAGACCATGTCCCTATACATGCTTTATTGGAATCATCAATATTTGCAATCTTTATTTTCAGCATTTTTTCATTTGGGGAGAAAATTTTCATTTCTGTGATCTAAATAAAGAAAATTAAAATTTCACATATCAGTCAAATACTACAGTAACAAAAATTGTCAAATCATTAGTTTTTTTTCTCCCAAGCCAGATTTCCCACTTTATTTTCAAGCTTATTTCTAAGAACCAGTAACTTCTTTCTCAGTGGTTTTTGATTATGGACTGACCAGAAATCTTGGGCTGTGGCAAGTGCTATGTCATCTGAGATCCAGTTCTTGTCCTTTGGATAGTTCACTGTGCAATCTGGGAATTGGGTTTGATAGGAAGACCTGGTCAGGTGAACTGTGTTAGTAATATCGTTGAGCATAAGGGATGCATCCTGTGAGAGAAGTGTAATCTGTAAGAGTCACTGCATATCTGTAAAGTGACTCAAGTAAAAATGTGTCACTTACAGACACATGAGTTACAAAGTAAGAGAACTGAAGGAAGGCTAAATGCTCATATTCCTATGAAATGAATTAGTAACAATAAAACATTATGGTGTTTTCAAATCCTGGCATTTGTGACAACATGAACCAAGCTGGGTGACTATGGGAGTGAAATAAGCCAAACATAGGAATACAAACAGTACGGGATCTCATTTTTCTGTCATTGGAAATAGTTAAACTCCAGAAGCAGACAGAGTTAAGTGGTGGTCAACTAGAGATAGGGAGATGATGACCAAAGCTTATAAAGTTTTAGTTATGTGTGATGAGTATGTTCTGGAAAAGCATCAATGACTATAGTTACCAATACTGCATCATAAGGTTGAAATTGGTTAAAACAGTAGATCTCAAACATTATCAGGACAAAACGGGAATAATTGTGATTCAATGAATGTTAGTTTATTGTGGTAATAATTTTACTATGTATATCTTGGATATCAAAATATCACTTTAGTCATTCCTAGACTCCTACTGGTTTGCTGGAGGAAAGACTGTCCTCCAAGTCAAAAAGGACAAGTAGCATAGTGTTGTCTTGTATG